GACTCCTCGTACCATACAACGTGGCCCACGGCGTCTCCACAAACACTGGCTTTGACTCTCAACTGTTTTCTGACAGGCTGCCGAGGACTCTGAACGAGCGTTAGAAACACTTCAATTGTTCAGCTTTTCTTTCTTTTTTGCTGTTGGTCCATCTGTACGTATTCACTTCACTACGAAGGAACTCACCCACCCATACCCACAGAGACTTCGGCACAGGCTTAGCCCATGGAATCTGCCCTGAAGGATCTCAGGGCAGCATCTGCAAACAGGAATTTCCTATTTTGAAGGATACAGTCAGTTTATTCAGACTTCCTAATGGCTGACAAACATATTATGGAACTGTCTGCGAGTACCGTGACTCAGCATGCCATCCCAATTTGGGGTGGGTAAACCCCAATTATCCACACTGCTGGAGATCAATGGTGCTGGCATTGCTAAGCAATGGATTTGTTTTTGAAAGGATTGGTGTAGCTCAGAACATGAGATAGTTCTACTAAATTATAACTTACCTTGGCTAATGCGCCATTTAGTTCCACCGTAGAAGTTTTCTAAGTTTCCGTGAGTGACAGGCACCTGGGGAAGTGTGAGCCAGGGGAGCACTCAGAGATAGGTCAGCCATGGGAGTCTGGGGTCTGAGCATCTGGGTCCTAGGCTCTTTGGGACCTTAGATTAATTCAACAGCCTCATCACAGTAACACAGATGGGCAGTGTTATGAGGATTAAAGACAATAACATACTGGGGAGATATTGGTTAAAGCTACCAAATTTCAGTTAGCTTTATATCATCTGTGAATTCTCTTCTTGATTGCTTAGTTTTTTGCTGTACCTTTGGGTAATTTCTAACACTAATTTGCTTTCTTAATTCTTTAATGAGTTAAGTAAAATCTTTGCAATGTATTTATCTTTAAAAAAAAAAAAAACGGAGGTGAAAGCAGACGCTGCAGTAGCGCACAGGAAGAAACCACAACAAGATTCTTGCCATTGACACCTTGCTTGCTGAACTCCAAACTGCCTAGCGGCAAGTGGCTAGTCACAGGTGCAGGAGCCAATGCCTGTGAGCCTGTCGTGGTCTCCAATTCAGAACGGGCACCAAAGGGAGAAAAAAAAAAAGTCTAGTTTTTCAGATTTGAGGATTCCCCATCAAGATCCCATGGCGTGTAATTTAAACTTTCTTGCCTTGCTTTTGCTGCTGGTTGGGAGCCCCCTGCCACTGTCCTGGAAGCGTTGTGGGGTGCCAGAGGGAACAGTTAGCAGGAGAGATGGGGGCATGTTACAGACGGGAGGTGGACTATAGCAACCACAGGATGGGCCACTCTACACAACCCACTCTATGTCAGCAACTTGGAGTGTGGTGTTGGGAGAAAACGTATTTACAGGTAATCCCTATAGAATATCCGTGTATACAAATATATCCTTGCAGATTTTTGGCCCTTAGATGTCATACAGTGGTGTCTAAAAGCCTGGCTTACCAAGAGAATCCAATTTTGAAGGTATCCATGTGGATAACATGTACATTCTAGATTTCTTACATTTTTTTCTTCCCCAAAACATATTGCTGTGTGGTAAGGTAACTGGCATATTTATTTTTGTTATCCCCAGTCTTACAGCAAGGGCTTTGTACTCTAAAATGGTCTGTGACCTTCACAAAGGTCGCTTCAGTTTTCTGTGGGTTGGAAAAGGATGAGGAGTTTTCGTTTGTTCCAGCCACTTTGTTTTCGGAGGGGCTGCTCGGCCTGCCCTGGTTAATGACTCCCTGCCTCTCCTGGTGTTGGATGAAAAGACAGCCCCGGGATATTTGGAAAGAATTCCACACCCCACAGTCCTGGAGTCGCTGAGAACTTAATGAGCCAGGGAGGGAGAGAACCTTTCTGAAATGGGAAGGAGTAGGTTTCACTGACCTGGATTTAAACATATTCATCAACTCACTTACTGTGACAGCAACAGCCAAGAGCCTGGGTTGGGAATCACAGTTAGAAGCTTTAAAAATGGGACCCGCCTTTTACTTAGCTGAAGTATGGGACTTTAATCTTGCTGAGCCTCAGTTTCCTTGTTTGCAAAATAAGGCTATTTCTACCTATATCTGGGATGGTATGAGGATGAAACGGCAATGTGTGTTAAAAAAGAAAAGCACAGCCGGGTGGTGGTGGTACACGCCTTTAATCCCGGTACTTGGGAGGCAGAGGAGGCGGATCTCTGTGATTTCGAGGCCAGCCTGGGCTACTAGAGCTAGTTCCAGGACAGGCACCAAAGCTACAGAGAAACCCTGTTTAGAAAAACCATAAAAAAAAAAAGAAGAAGACGAAAGAAAAGCACACATCCTAACAGTATGCATGCTGCTTCCAAGTCTTTACTCAAAGCACATTCATATGTATCTGGGAGGGCTGAGGTCACACCTGTTTGTACAGACATGCTTCTTGAATTCTATTGTTAGAGTTATCACACTGTACTGTAATTATTTGCTTAGTGTCTCACCACCCCACTAGACTATGGGGTCCGTGGGAGGAGCCGCTGGGCCGACCAGGTCTTTCCACCCTGAATATGAGGAGTAGCGCAGGATGTGGCTCGTCCTGGCTGAGGCGGCCACGGAAGGAAACAGAGGAGATCCCCAGGAATGGAAAATCAAGTCAAAAATGGAGATTGGGGTACGAGGCCAGCATGTGGAAATAAGTGGTTGTTTCTCAGGGGGGCTGTGTAGGCTAAAGGGTTAAACTGTGAACGGAAGTGTGTGTTGTCTTGAGTCGGCTGCACCACAATGCTCTAACCCTCTAATGGAATGAAGGCCATGAGCAACAGCCTTATATAGCTCTAGACACACCAGGGAGAGGAGAATGACTTTAGCCCATACCCGAAAGCATGTATAAACCCTTCAGATCTTTTTGGTTTATCCAGTGGGATACTTTGAAGCAGTTAATCCATGTTTTTATTTTTCTGATAGAAGTAAATTCATCCCCAAGTCTTGGTTCCTCAAAGTCACATTCTCTCACAGAAATGTGTAGAAGCTACACAGGGGCAACAATCTGACAAGTGCTGTCGTTTGACACGCACAGAAAACAGTTTATCTCGAAGCCGGCTTCTGTCCTCACACTGAGAGTCATGGTCCGTCTGGAGCCAGGCGTATTTATTCTTCCAGAATAAGGAAGAAACTGTGGTCCTGGGAACAAAGAGACCACACTGTGGCCGTCAAAGCTGGCTTAGGGACAAGAGGATCTGCAGCACAAAGCACGCTGCAGAGAATTTGAAATTTGGATAATCTTCCTCGAGTGTTGACATCAGTTTCTTAGCATTACCAAAAGTCAAGAAACACTTCTGGGTGGAGGTGAGGAGCCGTGCCTTGGAAGCAGATCTCGGTGGGGTGGGTGGTTATATTGTCCTCTTTCTCACCATGGTCAGTGTTTGCCAACGACGTGCACTGATTGGTGTGAACCGAGGTCACTGCTGAGGAAGACTGGGACATGTGTCTCTCAACAGAATGAAGAAAAATCTTAGAAAGGAAGAACCAATCAGGAAGTCACCAAACGGAACTGTTAAAAAAAAGGGGGGGGCGGGAGGGTGATGTAGGATCTGAAAAAACAACTCCAGATACTTCTCTGAAGTGTTTGACAAGATTTACAATGGAAATCAAATGGAAAAAAATTTCCATGAAAGTGATCCTACATACATGAAAAGTACAATATATTTTAAAAATGGAGTGAGGGTCTGGGGATGCGGCTCAGTCTGTGGAGCGCTAGCGTAGCCTGCACGTAGCCTGCACGGAGCTACGCAGTCCCCCACAGACACCAACCAGGGCGGTCCACCCGCAATCCCATCACTCTAGAGGTAGAGGCTGGGAAACAGAAGTGCAAGCTCACTCCCTGCCACACAGCAGTCTGAAGTCCTCCTGAGATCCATTAGCCCTGAGCCTGTCTCAAAACTTAAAAAACGGAATAAAAGAGCCAGTTATATAAACCAAGCTCATCCCTAATTCCCCTCAGGAAGTTTCAAGACAGATTGAATCAGTGACGCCGCAACGCTGAGGTTTGCTCCACCGTGTGAGTGCTTGCAATGTTCCTTTCAGGAAGGTCACGTCGCTGAGCTGTGTGGCTCATGGCCTCTGGGACATCTTCTCCTCACTGACCATTTGTAAGAGCTGGCGACTCTTGCCTAATCACTGAGGCAGCTGGGACTGACATCCTCCTTCAGTGAAACCCATGACTGAAAAGAGACGGGGGACTCTTGGATGGTCAATGTCCATTACAGCACACTCTGGGTTCCTTTTATACTGAAATGCACCAGAAGACCTTTTCCCCAGTCTTGCAGTATGTGTGTGTGTGTGTATGTCTATGGAGCAAAAGTGAGATGCCTTCTCACAGAAAACAGTTCTACAGGAAGAGGGGCAGGCAGACACTAGAACCCAAAAGCCTCTGCGGTTTAACAAACCTCATTCCTTCTTTTAGGGATGTGTGGCTGTTCCTCACCTGAAAGGAATTCTTCTAGCTGTCTGACAGGTGACTTCATTTTTGACGGTCCTGTCCTTCCCATCTTGGGGAAGGGCTTTCTATTCATGTCTGCATTCACTTTGGCTATCTAGGAGGCATTGCATCCTGCCATTCTGAAGCCTGGTCGCTGGTTACCTCTAAACGTCCCCACTAGACCACAGGGACGATGCTCTTGTCTTTCCCTCACCCTTTCTGCACAGATGCCTTGCACCTCCGTTTATTTGCAGACGGCAGGTTATCTGACACTTACTGAACTAGCTAGAATGGATGTGGAGGTCGGACTCCTTTCCCTAACTGCGGCGTGGATAAGTAATTTGATCCGTGGGACGGAAGAAATGAGTGGGAAGTTGAGTCAGGTGACCCCGTGGTTGACCTGGCTGGGCCTCGCCACCCTCGCTACTGACCCAATCATGTCGCTGCTTCCTTTGTTAGCTTATAGAAAGCGCGAGCGGTTAGTAAGCCTTAGTTGGCGGAGCTTGCCCGGCGCCCGTGAGCTGCCTGTAATGCCCTGTCGTTTTCTCACAGGTACGAGCTGGGAGCTGCTCTCTTCATCGGGTGGGCAGGAGCCTCGCTTTGTATCATTGGCGGTGTCATATTTTGCTTTTCAATATCTGACAACAACAAGACACCCAGGTAAGAGAGAGAGAGACAAAAACACCTGCTAAGAAAGTGCCGCACCTGTGGCCCCTAACTGCTGCACAGTTCTTCACGCCATGGTGACCCGCCCGACCAGAGAATTATGTTCTTGCTACTTTCTCACTGTAATTTTGCTACTGTTTATGAATCATGATGTAAATATTTTTGGAGCTAGAAGTTTGCCAAAGGGGCCTCAACCCACAGGTTGAGAACCACTGAGTTATATTATTTCTAAATCATCACATATGGGGCAAGTTACACACAATTTGTATGACTCTTAGAAATGAGAACTAGGGGAAAGGGTTAGGGACAGGTATTATTTTTAAAACTCTCCCTGCTGTGTTCAAAGGCTGCTTCTGTAACTGGGAGGCCAAGTCCGAGGTTCAAAGTCTGTTTTCCATGCCGACATCACCGTGATTTTCACATCAGCAGGGATCGGTAAAGGCCTCTAGGAAACCCCAGTCTCAGGAAATTGAGAATTAAAAATAGTTTTGAGAAAGGATATTGGAACAAGTAACTACCACGTTGCCTCTACAGAGAGTCTCTCCTCACGCAGGCTGTGTGGGCAGAGGAGGGATGAGAGCTAACCGGAGGAGGAGTGAACGCTTAGGGACCGATCACAGGGGTTTTCACCCATTTCTCCTTTGCTCTGCTGTAGAGCAGAATCAAGCCATGTATGCTTTACCTTTTAGGATGGGCTACACGTACAATGGACCCACGTCTGTCACGTCTTCTCGGACCAAGTATCATGGTGGAGAAGGGGATTTTAAAACCACAGGTCCTTCCAAACAGTTTGATAAAAACGCTTATGTCTAAAGGAGCTCCTGACAAGCTGCGTCTTGAAACTGAACTGTTCACGCAATGATCCTTCCACGGCCCTCCCGTAACTGCCGCTTCTGCTGTTTTTTAAAATGTGAATTTGAAGGCTGTTGATTGGATGGATGTAAATGTTCTTATAGCAATATATGCTAATCATTTTCTGTTGTGCCTTTCTATGAGGAAAATAAACAGGTTATTTACAGGATCTGCATGTTTTATACCCATAGAGCACATGGACACTCTTAGTTCAAGGGCTCAGGAAATGCTAGGGTGACGGTTACTTTGATCTTTGGCATACTGAGAGCTTCCCTCGTCCCATGCACACATTAGGCAGAAGTGTGTCAGCAACGGTGGCTTGTGAACAGGACAGGGACAAGTGTGAGACTGTTCCTCAGGTGTCCTAGTTAAACAGTCACGTTGTTACCTGCCGTGTAGAGTCGCCTTCCAGTTTCCTAGGCCTGTCTGTCAGGACCGCCATTCACGACAACGGCTCAACAAAGGGCTACCGAGGCCAAGGTGTCATTGTCCTCTATGTGGACCGTAGACCACAAGGGTTGTCTGACACCCTTCGGTGAGCTGGCCCTGGCTGTGGTTGAATCCAAAGTCAGCTGAGGAAGTAGCAGGGAGGGTGGGCTGTGCGGTGCCTGCAGCTCTCAGCTCCTTTGTGTCTCCTGGGTCCTGCGCATAGCACTCACGAGGTCACTGAGACACTGGCCAGTTTTCAAGATGGGGATCCCGACGCTGGCCGCAAACCACCTGCCCACAAAGGCAGCTCTCGCCACCATCACCACACAACTTGTGTGCCCCAACTCACTCACACCCCCAGTGCCCTTGGGGGCAGCTCCTTTTCTCCTCTTGCACATTCAGCAAAGAAAAGTGGAGTGGAAAGTAGAGGTCGTGAGCCTTGAGTGACAGGGTCAGGACGTGAGCTGTTAGCAGTGGGAAGAATCCGGCACCTGCGTCAGGGGCTACATATCGTCCGGGATGAATCACATGGGTGCCGCGTGACTTTCCCGAAGAGCAAGTGATTGAAAAGGAAAAAGAAAATGTAGGGAGCCATCTGGAGAAATCACCATTACAAGATGGCGCCGGCGTTCCTGCAGCTTGGAGGTAATCAAGTCCTTATTTGATATTGCTGCGTGGGGCTGAGCGCCCTTTGCCTGTACATGCACAATTGAGGCTTGTCACTGGCTAATCCCAAGGCTCTGGGCATCATCAGACTGGTATTTACCAATCAAGGCAGTACCCGAGTCCCCTCACCCTATTTAAGCAGATGCCACTTGGCTCTCGCTCTCTCTCTCTCTCTCTCTCTCTCTCTCGCTCGCTCGCTTTTCCTCTCTCTTCTTGTTTTCTTTTGTTTCTTGCTCTCTCTCGCTTCCTGCTCTCCCTTCAACCAAGAGGCTCCAATAAAGTGTGATGTGAGAAGAATCCTCGACTTCGTGGTCGTTCTTCCTTGCTGGTCAAGGGGCACCCCACAACTGGTGCCGAGAACCCGGGACGCTGGACAACGTATCGGTCACCGAGCGAGAGGGCTGCAGAGGATTCAGAACTCGACACACGGAGCGGCGACGTCGGTAAATCCTCCAGGTATGCTGATTGCTGGGGTTGGTCCAGAGTGGTTCGGCCTTGCATTAGTTTTGATGTTTGTATTTGTCCTTCTCTGCTGTTTTTGGCTGCGCTGCCATCAACCAGGCCGTGAGTGTCTTTGCTGCTGTGACCGCGTAGACCGAGCAGCGTTTTCTACTAAGAACATAACTCCCTTGTAAATAAAAAGGGGGGTTCTTTAGCCCAGGGGGTAAGTCACACGTAGTTAAGTGTGAACCATGGGCAATTCTTATGGAACCGCCTCGGGCCCCAACGAGATCTACGGCCCGATCCAAGCGCTTTTACGGCAGCACGGTCTAAAGATCTCTTCCAGGACAGTCTCTATGATCATTAAGGATATCGAAAAGATCTCACCCTGGTTTGCAGCTTCAGGTGACTTAACCTTGCCATCATGGGATAAGTTAGGCAGAGACTTAGAGCAAACTAAACAAGAAGAGAGGATTGGAAGGGGCACATTTCCTCTTTGGAGGTTGGTGTGGAACTGCTTGAAGGAAGGACGTAATACTGAGATATTAAAGGAGGATCGCAAGGCATTACAGAATCATCAAGACAGCCTTTCAGAATCAGATCATAAAGGGGAGGATAAGGATAGGCCTAAAAGAAAAAAGGAAAAATCAAAGGAAAAGGACCCGGAAATAGACCAAAAAAAGGGGGGGGGGGAGAAAAACCCCATAAGTTTAGTGCTGGAGGAGTTTATAAATCTAGATTTATCAGAGGAGGAGTTGGGTCCTCAAGAGGAGGAGGAGCTTGAGGAGGCAGCCGCTAGGTATGAGAAAGAGCGAGATAACCGAAGGCAGGGCAAAGATGACGTGTTTAAGAAGGGAAACGGAAGGCCCATGGCGCCCGTGGTTTCCACCCTTCCCTTGTCCGCCCCCCCCCCC